AACCTTCATGTCTGTTCAATAACAAGATGCTGTGCACTTAAGATGGAGCATATATGCCATATCTGATTTACACATTTGACTGTGGGTGTTGTTTTGGAATGATGGACATACAGGACACACTTACACTTACGTACATTTACATTTACTTCTCAACAGCTGATTAAGTTTTTTTATATATATATGTTTTTTTCTGACATTTTCATTTATTTAAGTTTATGAACATGGAGAACATATAAGTTGTGTTTGCATTATGTTACCGTATGCACATCTGTTTGCTTTAATGACCTACTTAAGAGCATCGCTGTATGTATTTATATATAAATACTTACAGAGATACATATATCCAGTATATATACAAATTATTACAGCAACCATCTTTTTAAAAGGAAATTAAAAAGGGTGATGCTTTTGTCTGTGTGTCTTATTGTTTGTTTTGCTCTGTTTGGGGTGTGTGTTCATGTGTGCATAAGAGGTAATAGGTAAGATTACTAGGAGTGCCCTGGTAGTTCACCTGGTAGAGCTGGGTCCACATGTGCCAAGGCTGAGTGCATGCTGCAGTGGCCAGGGGGTTTGGTCTGGGTCTGATTCAGGCAGCCATCATGACCAAAGGTCTTCAATAAATGACATTTTACACATATATAAGGACCATAACAGGAAAGATTAATTTAATTAAAATAAAATAATAATAATACATTAAAGCAATTCATAACTGAGCACTGTGCAACTGCACTGTCTGTATTTACACACCTGCTTCCCCCAAACTAAATGTTGATGTACACATTTGAGTATTTTTTCTAATTGTGAGTATTTGATCATTATACTCACACTACACACACTCAACAGCAGATACTGTATGCCGTGTCATCACCAATCCACAAGAGGGCATAAATGTACCACTGGTGAGGAGTGCACGTTTCCTTCGTAAAAGCCAAACATGGCTCGTACCCTGTGACCTACGCATACTATGTACTACTACTAACTAACTACTAACACAGCATAGTATGCTGTGTTAGTAGTAATATTTTTATGGTTAAAATGTCAGTTGTAGTTTAAAGATAAAAAAAGCCTTATGAAACTAATGATAATCTTTGCAGTCTTCTGATTTAGATAGAGCATGATAGTGATTGATTGTTAGGTTGAACATTTTCACTATTTCAGCCCAAAATATTATTCCAATGTATAACACCTATTTGGAGACAAAACGGGTGGAGGAGTATGAAAACTGCATCAGGCTAAATTTGTTTCACCTTTTGTGTCTTGTGCACTCTCCAGTCCCCTGCACTCCCCAGTCCCCCTGTATCCTTGCAGAGTTCAACCTGATTGACCTTTTGAATTTGTTCACAGGTTTTGGTAGAGAAACATGCTTCTGCAAGCATGTTTGTAACTATGTGGGCATAGTTTTTCTTACACACACATTTTAAATTTGTTTTCTAATATAATGCAGTATAGTATGACAACATCACAATGACAATGACAGTTCCACTAAAACCTCTGCATCTAACACCGAATATTAGATGCTTTAAAAGGTAAGACATTTTTGTGTTTATCAGTTAAAGCCACAACTTCAGCAACCACAGAGGATATATTTCTTATGTGCAGACCTAAATATATTGTTTGTTGATTTATAAATGTATAGAACATGACAGGGCTTGTATAGATTTTTATTTTGTCAGCTGACATTGGTGGTTCATGTTTGACAGGACTCAAGTGCTGTACTTAAGTACAATTTTAAGGTTCTTTCCTTGAGTATTTTATTTACTTTATACCTTTTGTTGACTACATTGCAGAGGGAAATATTGTACCTTTTACTCCACTGCTCTTATTTAGACCTCATGTACTACACTTGTGTAGATGTGCAGGGCTTTTAAACCCATGGATTCCAACCTTTGCGGCTTGTCATCCCTTACAAAAAGCAGTGTTTTTTTTCTGGTTTAAGACCATCAAGGCTATTTTCTCCTGGTGCTCCTAATGACATTTGCATGAATCCACCGCAGCTGAATGAAAACAACCAATCAAAGCAAAGAAAGATGAATTCATTGTCACATTCTAAGGTCGTGTCAGGGAAAGACAAAAAGTTATTTTTATGAAAGTTACCTACTGCAGCTTTAGGTAATAGTATCTGCTGTAATCTATTAACTGATTGTATCTTGTTTATAGGTTACACTATCTAAAGTAGTTAAAACGACATGCACCTACAGCAGTAAAATGCTACTTATACACTGTTGAACCATAGGAGCTACAGGTATACGATCTGTTTCACAACTGAGGGCACGCCATCAAACTCAGGCTGCAGCACACCTGCACTCAATCAGGAACTCAGCTGACCACCAAATCACCTTGTTTGTCACCTTAGAATGGTCAGTAACCATGCAGAGAACTGTGATACCACAGTGTTGGAACCTGGGTCAATGTCATGACTCTGTGATTAACATTTGTTTTTAATACCTCCAAAGTCTAAGAAATTCTGAACAAGCAGTGTTGAGGATAAACTAGGATCTCTGAAGCACATATAAAGCCTCATATGTATTTCTCTGCTTTGAATCTTTGAACATGAGGAGGACACAACCATGTGAGAGAGTCTATAGACTGGAAATGTTCAGTTACACTACCCCACAAACCCCATTTCCTCTTTTCCATAAACAGTGCAACTTCATGTTCCTCTGGCAGTTGACTCTTGTCAGTTCCTGTCTTTCCTTCTTTATGTGCATTGTTGGCCATCTGCTGGTGAAGTTGTGTATCAGTGAGGTCCTGTGTTAGGCCCCGATGAAACCCCAGGTGTTACGTTGTGTTCCAGTGACAGTGACAGTGAGCCAGCATGGACCGCAACAGGACCCTCACACTGAAGCAGCTAAATGGAATCCAGCCATTTGTAAGGTTATTTATACCTTTTTCATGAAACAGGCTTATGGTGCCACCAATGTTGCAGTCATGAGGTTGTGCTGGTAAAAACGGCTATATTACTCTGGATTTGTGGCATTTGAATCCAGGCAAACCTCACAGCTAATCAGCACTGACAGTGGTGGAATCACTGTAGAGATTGTCTGGGATAAATTCAATTAAATATATCTAATTGTTCATGCTTTTTGCCATGGAGCTGAGGATGACAGGTCTGCGTTGAAAAAGGATGTTTGGATAAGTGCTATCTCAGATAACTGAGATTTTAAGATTTCACTGATCACCTTTTAAGCAATTCATGCACTGTGCGGACTCTTTTTTTGTCTTTGTTCCACTTTACTTATTTGGTTATTTATTTAATACATGATACACTTATTTGTGTTATAATTATTATATTATGATATATAATATATATACTTTTCACTCTCCTCTTGCCTTTTAATTATGTTATCCCTCTTTTCAATACCCCCACAGATACTCATGCCGTTACTGTTATGCCCACCCTGGTATTGTTTACAATGTTGTAATTGTTTTATGTTTTGTCTTGCTGTATGTTGCTTGTATGTGTATTCAGTTTAATGTCTCACAGTAATCACTTGTCACCAGTGTATCATGTATATCACCAATAAAAAATAAAAAAAGAATGTGAGTGTTGATTTTATAAAAGTCCCTGTCTACTCAAAAATCAGTGTGCTGTTTGAATGCTGTCTAGTTTGACACTAGAAGGATGTTTTCCCATTCATCTACTGAAAGTGGAAAGTTTCTCTGTGCTCATTAAACATCAGATTTTAAGGGGCGGGGCCTATCAGCATGATTTGTGACATCACAAATAGTTAGGAAGTCAGTCCTGGTCCAGTATGCAACTTGTACAGTGTGATGTAGAAACTTGAAGCCACCAGTGCACATCCACTGAGAATGGACTTTACAGTGGAGTGAAGTAGGAAACATCTTGTGTCCAGCGCAGGAAAAACCAAATGAACAACATTTGCATATTCAAATGATTCTGGGAGTTTTAATAAGGTAGAAAGAGTAAGTAGAGTGTCTCCCTTTCTAAGAAATTCAAGGTAGAAAAGTTATAATTTTGGCAGAAAAACCCTGTCGGGGGTGGTAGGGGGATTTGTAATTATAATGCCCATTACAAAATTACTGTAAATCAAATCAGGCAACTTGTCTTCAGGGTTATGCCACTGCTATGATCCTTAACTGACAACAACAAGAAATTCAAAGATTAAATAATACTAAGGTAGCATTTTGTTATAGTTGTAACTGAGGTTGGGAATAGTGTAACCATATGGCATTATACAGTAACCTGCTAACAGTAGGTTACTATCAAATAGCCTTGAAAACAAGTTAACTGGTAGCTAAAAGTAGTTTGTACATCGCTGCTAACAATAACGCTTAACATAATAGCCACAACAACACAATAACATTTGACAGTACGTTGTTCTAACGTCAAACGTATTGTCTCATGTGTAGCATTTCCAAGCTAGCAGACAACAACACGAACAAGGCAAACAGCAGAGCGGTTAGCTGCTAACTTACTACGGGAGCTAGCTAATGTAGCTAACCTATGCAATACCCTAGCTACAGTAACGTTAGCCTGTTATTGCAACATCAAGACCGAAACTTACGAGATTAAGCGGGCTGTCTATGACCTCCATGGAGTCGATTCTTCGATGGCTTACACTACATGAAAGGTGTCTCCGTCCCTCACGGACTGTCATTCGCACAGCGATAAAAAACCATGAAAAATAATAATAGTAACGTTAAGTACATTTACAGGAAGCACAGTCGCCTCCACAGCCAAAGCTGCGTCAACGCGTCGTGGCGTCACAATCGTTCTGGATGTTTTGGTTACTTGTTTTACTGCGTCAATTTACCGGAAATAGAAAAGGCTTGAAAGCTATTATTTTGAAAGCCTTAAAATAATAGGATTGAAGTTGTACCAATAACTCGTTTGTATGCACATTTTACACCAGAGCCATATAGGTGGAAAAAGCACTTTTATCATGTTCAAAACACAATAGATTGTGCCATATTTTGGCAAATTAGCCAGGATTTATGTCTTGGTAGTTAAGTAATGCTTTTATTGTGATACTCTGAACGGAATTGCAATGCTGTCTCATTCGCTGTTTTGTTTTCGTTTGAGGAAGTGAATTTGGTCAGTGGCTTTAAAATTACATAAAAATCACATTATTTTATATATTATTTATTATTATTTTATACTACAGAACCTTAACAAATATTACATTTACGTTGTGCTTGTTTGGGAGTAGACTGTTCAGCTAACGTTAGCTTGCCTCAGTGAGTGTCCCCTTACTCGTTGTTAAAAACATTCGAGCCAACGTCACTGAACCTATATTACACGTCGCGCCAGCCAGCAGCGAAACCGCTGATGAAGAAGAGTACGTGTCTGATAGCGTCCAGTATGGCCTCTTTAGTCCTGCTCATGATGGTTCTGTACGGTAGCACTGGCAGCCAGCAGTCGGGCAGCCACAGCCTCAGACATGACTACCAGCTGCTGGGCAGACCCCTGTACAAACTGGACTTGGGCTGGCCCAGGAACCCAGAGCTCTTCACTGGGGAGGTGTTTGGTGTGGCTGTCAACCAGTATGCTGGAGTGGTATATGTGGCACAGAGAGGTAACAGTTAGATTCATCTTAATTCAGCAAATTAGAGCAGATGTACGTTTGCTGGCGTTTGTGTAGCCCGAGATGCTAAGCTGGTTCCTGACTTATATTAGTCAAAATAATGTGTGCTTTGCCTGAGCAAAACGCTTTGATTTGATTTAACATACCGATCCGGAATTCTGTTAATATGGTGAAATTAAATGTTCCGATGCTAATGTGATGCGATGCATTCGTATGGTCAGATAGTTACTGAATAAGGCCTTTTACTAAATAGTTAATATCTAAAATCTTTTTTTTTTATTTACCAAGCCAGAGATGTTCGAAACCCCAATGCATCCCCAAGTTCATCCCGCAAATGGTAAATGCGATGCACGCTTTTTTAATCAGTGGCATCGCCATCTTGAACTTTTGTTGTGAATCTCCCATCCTTAACGTGACCAAATTTTGAAAAATATTACTAATGCCACCAAAAAGTCACAAAAATCGGCATATAGCTGTTTGTAAATAGTCATCCATTGATATCCATCCCCCCTGCCAAGCATGCCTGGTCTGAGCACTTAAAGCTTGTAAAGGCCATGTGTGTCCCCATGCCTGGATCTTCCTAAACACACACTTAACCCTGGCTGATGCACACTTTTTCTAATACCCTTTAGACCCAGATATTTAGATGACTGTTAGTGTAAGTGTCTCACAATTCTCCCCAGCAATTGGGCTAATGAAGTGTATTTTTATTTATTTTCACCACCGTTAGAATCAACGGTAAGTTGACAAGTGATACACTCTGTATCCACCATCGTTGGAATTCAGACCAAGGTGATGACCCACAGGGGGCCCTCCAAACAACTGCAAGCCCAGGGGCCATGTACCTGCCCCTCCCACCCCCCCTCCCTCTGCCTGCGACAGTGATGTCAAAAATATCTGTCCCTATAAATCCTGTCCCGCAAGAATGATTGCTATTGGCATGTTATTATTTCTAGTTGTTAATATATCAACATTTAACCCTACCCCTCCATATAGTACCAGCTGATCTAGTAAAATTCAAATAAAACACATTCCTATTTTTGTATTTGTTGCCGCAGAATGCTAATTTGCAGAAATGGTATTTTGTTTATAATAATTTTGTTTAATATTATCTCTCCCAAATTCTCTTGTATTCTTTCATGGCCAACAAGACCATAGGGATCTAAAAAAAACAAACTGAATGCTTTACTTTGAACGAGTGAAAAAATCCAAACCAATACATAAAACTGCACCTGCCTGGTGTGGTTGGCTTCTGCTCTTTAAAACGGTGACAGTGTGCCCAACGGTCAGCTGCGAGTGTTCACCCTACAGACTGGAGATTTTCTCCCATAATA